TTTTACTATACACGCTATACAGTATATACGTTGTATCTTGACATGGTACTTAAGCTCTAAATCTTTTCGATTTCTACGTGTCGTGCATTCTGTTGGTAGCTAGGACAGAAATAAGTTAGGAACGATTTGTTGTCCATAGTATGTCGCCATGTTGGAACTCAGGTCCTGGATCGAGTCTTGAAATCACGGCCCAAAAGCTGTCATACCAACACGATCCTACATAAAATAACGACCCCCACAGCACCATTATAGTGTTTCCTGTTGGTATTGAATATTTTTCAGGGATGATGATTCTACATTGGATAAATATTAGAAGGATTGTGAAGTAATTCCGTTTTAGGCTTACCTCTAGCGCAATGGAGGAAAGAAAGAGGAAGTACAAGGCATTGTGGGAGCGGAAGTAGCTCGCGATACGCTGTCTTTGTATCCCGAGTGCGGATTGGTTGGTGGTGACAGCAAATATCCAATCACAGCATCTGTCTAAAACCTTTGTAAGCAAGTTTTCGCGGGAAAACATGGCGGACAAGAAGGTGGGTCCATGCGTTCTGATGCGTGATTAAAATTCGTTTGTAACGATATTACGGATGTTTCTGTATAAGCAATACTCGTCAGAAGCTTTGTAAACACCGCTAATGATGCCATAACTTACTGCCAGGCGTTAACGTTGAAAGTTAAAAGTGAAAATATGAAGGGGGAGGGCAGTTTCCTAACCCCGACATAATTTTGTTGCTTTGCAGAAAAACGTGATAAAAACACTATGTTTGCTTAATGTAGACACATGATTTATGACAAATCTCCTCGTACAGAGTAAGAAATCCGGACCTCCGCGGAAGAAAGCGAAGATAGACGATGGAGGAGGCGACAGTCGCACCAGGACAGGTCAGTACCTTCTCTGATCATCAGGTGAAATTCTCATGATAAAATTTATTAGCAGTATTCTACTAGTACTACAAAATTATGTCATACTTAGTCTCGCGCGGTCTCGTAGGCTTAACATCACGTTTTCTTGTGATATAATGTTATAGACCATTCTTAACATCCACCCCTGTATTAATAGCTGAACTTCATGAAGATCTGAAGGCCAAGTTCAAAGTTGATCTGCCCAATGACTTCTACCAGCTCTGGGACTTCTGCAAGACTCTGGATGCAGAAAATCCTGCAGGTCAGTATTTTTAATAGTGTAACGTTAACACGTTACATACAAGCCTACAGTGTAACTTATTTGATCATGAAAATTTAATTCAATGATAGCAGTTCTGGTACCTGTCAATGAACCTGTATATGAAGAACACCATACAAACAATCACTGTTTTTTGTTTACACCACATCAACAGCTTTTTGCCTACCACTGTCATGACTGTGATGTCATGGTGATTGCCCATATTGTTTTCTTGTATAGAAACACTACAAGTTCTACAACATTTGATTTTTCTCTAAAGGGGCCTTGGACAGCACACTTGGCTTGGAGCTTGTTGGTCCGTATGATCTCCTGGCTGACAAGGTGATCACAGAAGGTGCTCAAGAAGCAGACTTCCTCCTCCACTGGAGATACTTCTACGACCCACCGGAGTTCCTCACTGTCATGAAGGGAGATGACGAGACACAGCACCATATCGGTTACTTCAGGTACAGGAAGAGTTATAGGCTGTAACTTTTACTTGTACTTACTTACTTGGGCCCTTGGCCCATGATGATCCTCTTACATCCGGCTCGGTTCTGGGTTTCTATCTCGACATCTTCCCAGCACATCCCCAGTTCAGTCAGCTCCCTCTCCGTGTCTCGCCTCCAGTTTTTAAGTTTATCTTACAGTTAAAATGCATGGACATACACTATGCCATGAGGATACTTCAACTGAATAAATGTTTTGAAAAATGTTTTTATTACAGAGATGAACCAAACAAGAAACCAGTGTTTGTGGCTTCAAACCATGCGCAGAAGAACTACACCATTTCTCCTCAGGGGGACAACCTGTTTGCAGCTGTCAAGTATGTGTCTGTTCTACTGCCATCTTGTCTGTAGCCTTTTTGGTACTGATTGTGAAAGGTAAATGAAAAATTGGTGTTAAGACCTGTTTTGTCAACTACATGTAGATGCATGTAACCTGCACGCTACCTACTTTGTTTTATTGTGTAGATTGCATCTCAACAAAGTTTTGAAACAAACGAAGGACAAGAAGAAGAAAGAAGAGTTGAACAAACTGTCTTCCAAACTGGAACAGCAGGCAAAGGAGGGAGGGTACTCACTGGAGGAACAGCCAGCATCTTTCAAGGCAAGAAGGAAGAAGGTAATGAATTCCTTTCTAGCAGTCTTTTTTTTGCAATATAATTTTAGAACTACAGAACCAAAATGTAACACTTGTCAAGACATACTAAAGGATAAATTCAGTTTAATCTGTTTGTTACAAAATCATACTGTATTGGTAAAAAATATGTTTTTGTCATTGTCACAGATGGTGACCCCAACCTTTCATGGTGCAGCAATAGTGGTGCCCCTGGACAGTAATGAGGTGGGGTATAGGGAGCTACCTGAGACTGACGGTAAGGAACCCCAGCATCTGTGTTGCTTCTTTCCTTCCACATTGCACTACAATAAGTTTCTCTTCAGTAGTATTTTCATACATTAAGTGAAACATGCAATGACAATGAACAGAAAATACTTGACAAAACAAAAATGTACATGCTTTTGAATAAAAAGAGGGTTGGAGTAAACAAACTTACGTGTAAGAGTTCTCCTCTTCACAGGTGATCTTAAGAAGATTCTGAAGAAAGTTGTTGAGGCGAAGGATGATGATGAACGGATGACCCGTTTTGGGGACCTGCAGGAAATCGTCACGCTGGTGCAGTTTGCGAACGACGAGTGTGACTACGGGATGGGGTACGAGCTTGGGATAGACCTGTTCTGTTACGGCTCTCACTTCTTCCACAAGGCCGTCAGGAACCTCCTACCGCTGGCCTACCAGCTGTTGGGGAGGGACGACTTCGGGCCAGTCATCGAGGCACATTTAGACGACAGAAGAAAAACAGACCTGGCCAGGCTTAAGGGGAAATAACTGTAAACATGCCATAGCTTCTTTGTACTCACTGGATGCTCTCTAGAGTCTATGTTGTCACATGTTTGGACAGAGACAAATTATCTTATCCTTTGTGTGACAAATTTGAACTAGGAACATTTATTTCGCACTCTTTTCATCAATCTGGACATGTATTATATCCATAAAAATAGCCTGAACAGATACTTGTAACTTATGTGATGTCAACAACTTTATAACATTCTTTTTTACCGGTAGTGCATTTTGATTTGTATTGCTTACACTTTTTAAGATTAAGATGTAATCAACTAGGAATCCTTTTGAACTAGAACCAAAGAAAAGAAAGTTTATGTTTTCAACTAGGAATCCTTTTGAACTAGAACCAAAGAAAAGAATGTTTATGTTTTCAGTATCACTCAAATCATTCCTTGATCTACAAAATTGCAACATACCTTTGCCATCTTCTTCATATTGACAAGTATACAGTATTTGTAGTCTAATTATACCTGGTCTTATGGTAAGTTTTTTTTATCGCATGTTGTATATTCACAAATGGAGAAATAAACGTTGAAGCAGTTTCCTGAAAATGTCTCTGAGTGACATTTAATGTAGAAAAGATATTCTCATGACACTTGTGGCAACATTCTGCAACTTGGCCCCAGAAATTGCAAAGTAATGAATTTTCTACAGACTTGGAAGTTTTCTGTCTTGGTAACTAAGACACATTATTTTACTAATACACAAAAGTTTGGTCAGAAACAAAGAACATTTAAACCCCTGCTGTGAACTCGAACAGGGTCAAGATCCTACAACACAACAGTAGTTTGTATGCTAATTGGTTTGTATGTGATACAGGCATTTCTAAAGCAATAAACACAGTGGACAAAACAAGCTTATTTTGGCATAACAGTGATTTCAGGACATGGCTACAAACATGCTATAAGCTTTAAAAAATGAATGTATTACTACAACTGATTACTAGTAATACGGACGTAAATTGTGTTGTCTCCCTACAATGTGGGAAATACTGTAGGATTCTCTGCAGGATTCTAATTACAGATTCATGAACTATGCCACCTACAGAACCATCGGGTACGTAACCATCAGGAACATTTTGTCAGCGTAAGAAGACTACTTCCAGTACTTCAGTTACAACTCAGTATTTACCACAGAACTGCCAGGGTGGCAGCAGACTGCTTCTGGTCATGTTTGTTTTTCACAAATTGCCTCCCATTTACACTAGGTGTGCCCCAGTCTCAATACTGGGCCTATGATTTAACCCCCCTTCCCATTGCCCTTGGACGTCACTATTTACACAGAAGAAAGACTCTTGGACTACTGGTCATCTGCTAGCTGTTGGAGTAGGGCTCGTCTGCGGCTCTCAAGCTCCCCTTCACTGAGGTCGCTTTCTGTGGGGGAGAGGAGTGAAGAAATAAAGGGAAACAGCCTCACTTATCCACATCCTCAAGCAGTAAAGACCACATTTTATTCTGCTAGTATAAAGTGCTCTTGTACTGTGCATTGACCACATGAATGTGTACTTGTTTCAGTATCTACACATGATATATTTATATACACATCACTGTTATAAAATAATCATACAATGAGGTCAGTGGTACCACAGTCAAATAACAATATCTCACACAATTACTACTTGAGGTAATTCATCTCAACAGCACATTCAAATAAGTGTGCAAATGGGAAAAAATAATACATATGAATTAAAGAATTAGGTAAAAGTTATCTATCAGCATTCTATTAATTTTATTAGTTTGATTGTCAATTAACGAGCAGGCTAATTTCAGTCTGCATCCTCTATGTAAAGTTACCTTTGGTGTTATGTGTTCGAGATTCCTCTAGAGTTCTAATGTTTTGTATACAGACTTTCAATATGACGTTTGCGACATTGTTTTGCGTTTGGAGGACATTGTAACAGACTGTACATCTGTTCCACATGCCAACAGCTGCTGATGTACTCCAACATGGCTGCTGAGGGTCAAATTATCACCATTTCATCAACAAAAAGCCGGTATACTTGAAATGTGAAACTCAACCCTTGAATTGAAGTAGGACTGATTGAGTCAACCCCACCAGTGTAAGCATTTCATTGGGCATCCAACACACACTTCTCGAGTTAGTGTGAGAAGTTTCAGTATTGAAACATTTATTTCTTGCAGTATCTCATTTAGAACAATTGAAGCATCCACCTTGCACTTTGATGTAAAAAAAATTTGATGTAACATTTAAGTTGCCTAAATATTGTGAACTCCCGTAATGTCTAGTGGTACCAGCCACATATCTATTGTGATTCTCAGAGAGAAGAATAGTCCATTTCTGATACAGGGGTGATCAGCAACATGAAATAACCACAGAACTCGAAACAGACCGGAAACCTTGTCCTATCTAGGGATAAAACACTCCCAAACTTTCAAATGAAGAAACCATGAATCTTTCTTGAAAATCACAACTTTACCTTGCTGTTATAGGCAGCCTACAAATTTGTTTCTTTTCCTTGTTTCATAAACATCAAATTTATGAGCAACATTATATTCACCAGTGCTCAGTTAGTGTATTAATGGAAATGATGAAAGGCCAGTGAAAAACTTCTGTCCTAGATAGTGGACTCAGGGACAAGATTGTTTGGTTCAGATTTCGAGCTGTGGTAGTTAGAAGGAAACTCAGCACTGTCATCCATGGAGCAGGATTATGTACCACCTGACGTATCCCATCCTGTCTTCTCCTTCTTGGAATCGGACGGGGGCGGGCTCGCTCGGGACTCCGACTTGTCTCTGGACTTCCTCTCCGCCTTCCTGGTCTCCTGCTCCGAGTCGGACGAGTGGGAACGGTGCCGCCGCTTCTTCGACTTCTTCTTGTGCTTCCTGGATCTGCTGCGGCTCTCCTCCGAGTCTGATCCTGACAGGGGAGACAAGTGGATCTGGATCAATACAAGTTCTCAGGTGGAGAACAAGCAGAATTCTTACACCTTCGTTGGGCTGAATGATGAGAAGACCAGGAAACAGAGCAAGAACTAAGATCCATGTTCTTTTAATTCATCTAGCCTTGGCTTTAAGATGCAACTGAACTCTACAAGATAAGCCGTAAGAAAGTGACTTACTATCTGTGGATTCTGATCTTGATCTTGACCGTGACCGCTTCTTCTTCTTTGATGACCTTCTGTGTGACCTCTCCTCTTCCTCCGACTCTGATGCAGAGTGTGACCTTGACCTCTTGCTGCGGTGTTTCTTGGCCTTCTTGGAATGTTTCTTGGAGGAGGATTTGGAGTGGTGGTGGCTGCACTCCGTCTCCAAGGCCTGGATGAACTCCTTGAAGAGTCTGGCTCTCTCTGATTCCACCAGGATTTGGTCAAAGGCTGCATCATTTACAAACCTGAAGGAATACAGAGGAAAAGTAAATATATAAAATATACATTCCATAATATTAAGGACTACATTTGCGTGCATTGTCCAGTGGTAAGCGACCCTGCCTCTGGACTAAGAGGTTGGGAGTTCGAATCCTGGCTGCTGTCGCTCACCTGAAATGCACGATAATGTAAAGGGTTGCAGTCCTTCGTATAGGATATTGACTGTGAGTTAAAACTTGGTCGAGATCACTTTCCATTACTTTACATTTGACAATATGAAGTTTCTACACACACAGTTTTCTGACAGATACAGACCTGTCCCTAACATCGTCCCAGGTTGAGGTAGGATCCAGAGGTGGCGTGGCCTGTTTAAGCATGTTCTTAAACGCTGCTTCCTTCCTTCGTTGTTTCCTGGCTTCCTCCTTCTGTCTTTCCTTTTCTCTGGCCTCTGCCTTCTCAATCAGGCTGTTGTAGGACAGTTTTATGTTTCCTGTGTCCAGTGTAGCTGCACGTTTGTCAGAACTAATCGCAGTCGCAAAGTCTTCGAAACTTGAGTTGACCTCCACAGTAAAGTCTTTATCCTTGAGAATGTCCTTGATAATTTTCTTCTCGTCATGAAAGCGAGCCTTGAGGTCTTCCACATAGAACTTGAAAAGGTCCAGAGGTGTCGACCCTGTAAAATTCCAAATCAGCTGGTTCAAACTTTTGCAAGCATTGACATAAAATATACAAGCATGCCCCCAAAAAAAATCAGAATTACAACCAATCAGATCATACATTCAGCAAAAAAAGAAAACATGTTATACTCCAAGAACAGTTTCATCATGTTGGAGGGTCATAGGAAAATAATGTCCTGTTGATACAATTGAAAGAAAATTTTGTTGGCAGTCATTTCAGTAACTCTAGACAACTTTTGGAAATGGATGAAAATTCATGCACGTGCAGATTTCATCCATGTAATCAAATCAGCATGGCCTTATGAACAAAAGAAAGGATGTCCTAAGGAGACGTGGAGAAGGACCATGGAGAAAGAAGTGAGAAGACACGGATTCTCAATGGATGAAGCACTGAGGGTGGCTGCTGATCGTCCCAGATGGAAGAAGCTACTGGATCCCAAAGCGCCACTAGGCTGTGAGGGGACTGAGTAAGTGAGTATGAACAAAAGAAATGAAAGATGCCTGTTGGTACCTGGCTGGCCTAACATGTTGGTGAACCTGACGTCGGCGCTGATGATGGAGTACAGCTCCATCCAGGTGGACATGGAGTGCAGCTGTCCCGCCTCATGCAGCTCGTCCAGCAGGACCAGGAAACCCTCACGGTTCTTCCTCTGCTGACGTCTCTCCCGCCCCCGCTGACGCTCCTTCTCCTCCTCCTCCTCCTTCTCCAGCGCTCTGACAGGGCAGGAAACAACATGGTGTCAGAAGTGCGATCCAAGCAGACCACATTACTAATGACCAGGTTATCCACACCATTTATGTACATATCTTGCAGCAATGGCAAAATGCTAATGAGGAGAGGTCAGCTGGTTACATGCTGTGTCATAAACATGCAAGAAACATAAGAAGTTCAATCTTAAGCTGACCAGCACTTTTTTACTGAATCCCGAATACTAAACAAGTTTACCATTATAGTACAATGCGAAACTTAATTCCAACACAAAGGGTACACAAGGATCAAATTCTCAATGACCACCGTTGCCTTTTACCATTACAACAGTCTACACTCTTAGCGAGTGTGACTGCAATCTGTTGAAGATGAAACACACCTGATGTGCTCCTCAAAGCAGATGAGAGCGTCCTCCTTGTCCATGTTCTGCAGCTCGTCGTCCTCAGCGAAGGTGGGGTTATCCAGCAGGTGCTGCTGGGCCTCCGACCACGTCGTCTTGTACGTGATGTTGGCCATGTTGTCCAGGATGTTCTTCAGCGCCGCGATGTTCCGCTTGCGCAGCACCTTGGCGTCTTCCTTCTCCTTCTTCGCCAGGAAGAAGAGGACGTCCTCGTACAGGTCCTTCCGATCTCTCTCAGGAACCGCTTGCCAGACCTGTGGAAGAACAGACAGATGTATAACAAGAATAATAATATACCAACAAATAGGTATCAGCCAAAGTAGGTATCTAACATTGCTGTATTTTGTGTCAAAGCCAAGTTGCAAAAGAAACTGTCTATATTTCACCTTTCAAAACTAATTACAGTTCAACAATAAAAGTTACTAATGCCAAACAAGTGCTTAAGTTAGTTAAACCCTCACCACAATTCATGAAGTTAGCCAAGGATTTAATGAATGCAGAATACATAGAAGTCACTGACCTGTAGGTCACAGAACATGCTCTCTGCTTTCCTGTACTTGGTAGTTGAGGTCATCCTCTCATGACCTTCAAGAAATTCCTGCAGCTTCTCCTTCGCCTCCTTGGCCCTCTGTCGTTCTTCCTCCTTCTCCTCCTTGGCTCTCTGCGTCTTGTAGGCATTAAAGGCCTGCTTCTTCTCATTCAGCTTCTTGAGGGCTCCGTAACGGGGGTCGTTGACGATTGTCTTCATGGCCTGTTCCCACGTGGCGTTGGACGCAACTCCCTGGAAGTGGGACACACAACGTTAGACTTCAGAAAAACTCTGCTACATCTTTACTGCAGATACAAAGATACATGCCTACTTGCCTGCCTAATTGCTTAGGCAAGTAACTGGCCCTTTGCTCCCTCCAGGGCCTACAGGCTTTACAGTCCCTGGTCTTTTGATACATGTTGAGATATCAAAACTGCTATTTGTCCCTAAAACCAATACTACAACTTGTATATAACATGGACAGAACGTTAGGAGCCAAACTGAGCAAAAATTGAAATCACCCAACTGTATTGTAAACTTGTAATACAATAACCAGAGCCATGGCAGAAATGCTGAAGATTTACGTCTAATGGTTGTCAAGAAACAGAGAAAACTGGCGAAAAGAAAGGCACCTTTTCCTTGAGCAGTGCTTTAAACGCTGCGGTGGCCTCGGCCTTGTTAGCGTAGACGTACTCCTTCTTCTCAGGAGCGCTGTCAGTCGTGTCCTCGCCAGGCTGAGACTTGTCGTCTGTGTCAGCTTCTGATGGAGTTCCCTGGGGAATAACAACATTTTCATCATGGAAGTCACTCACAAGGAAAAGGTCACATGCATTTTATCAACAGTTACTTTGCTCTTTTTGTTGACTTTTGTCAACACAGACAAAAAATGGTATTAACTGTGCTAACGGGTTAACTTTTGCCTCCCTCATATAATTCTTCCTACTAGAAAACTACATGTACTATTTACTGTTATTTGCCAGTTTCCCCTAGTAAAAACTTACACAGCACAATAACCCAAAATATTTTTGAGAGGCAATTCAAAAGTACTCAAGTACACAATTGTTACATGCTGAAGAAAACTGTCCCCAAACTTCGAGAAGAAGAATGAGAGACTTCAGCTGACCTCTGCAGCCTGTTGTGTAGCGACTGCAGCTGTGTCTACTGCAGGCACCACCACCACCACAGATGCAGGCTGGGTCGTCATGTCCTGGGGAACAAAGGAACAGAGAAGTCAACACAATTGATCACAGGTTTGTTATTGCTATGACAATTCAACTTTAGAACATTCTTAGTAAGTCCATCAAAACACATACTGTGACGTGACTGATTTTACCTCAAATTTCTAATACTAGTAATAGTATGTTTAGCAACTTCCATGGCATTCATTTAGAAGAGAAATTGTATGATTTAAAGCAAATTTCTTGTGACTGAGACTTCAGAAAAGCATCTTGGATTGCTATAAATTGTGGACCTTCTAACAAACACCTATCCTTGCTTAAGAAACTCTTCCTCTTCTCAGCCACTTTTTGAATTTTGCACACACTGTGAACAAAAACTGTGTAAACACTCTTGTACTATGAAGTTCCCCTCACCTGCTGCCCAGCTGCCATGACTTGCCCAGGTGTAGCCACGCCCTGCCCAGGTGTCAGCACCTGTCCAGGTGTTCCCATCTGCCCAGGTGTTCCCTGCTGCTGCGCCTGTCCCGGGGTGGTCGCAGCAGGGCTGCTGTCGGCTGAGTCCCCGCCCGCCGTCTTCAGCTTGTCCAGACCCTGGGCAGCGATCATGGCTCGCAGTTCCTCCAGCTCCTTCGGGATGGTCCAGCGCGACTCTTTGGTTTGAGAGTTGTAGTAGTAAACCTGCCAAGGTACAAGTCAAAAGCTGAATATTAACATGTGATCATGTTCTAGTCCTATTTATCAAGATTCTCACTAGGCTATTGAGTGAACCCCCTATGCTGTGATTTAGGCCCCTATGCTGTGATTTAGTAACCAGCGTGGGGATGTTCCTTTTGGGGGAGAACCTTGTGACCCTTCATAAATCTTTAAAGAAATTAAAATTTGACTTGAGAATGAAGCAATAACCAAAGAATTCTCCCTCAATAAGCAGGAAATTGTGTCTCAGAGGGCTACGACCATAGTCCCCTTACTGTGGTCATGTTTCTTGCAGAAACACACCCACTACATCACACATCTACACCACACACTACACCACCCACCTTGCCACTGTCTGCCTTGAACTCCTTCCATGGACACGAGTCCAGCAGCAGCTCCGCGTGGCTCTTCAGCTCGGCAGGTTTCTCCCACGTCGACTGTTTGGTTTTGGAGTTGTAGAAGTACGTCCTCCCGTCCGGCGCTTTGTGCTCTGTCCACGGGCTCTTCTCCTCTTTGGGCTTTTCTGACGTCTGCAAAAAATGTTCTAACTTTTGTTAAACTAGACTTAAATGTCAGAAGCAAGAATCAAGAGAAAGGGAAACATATCAAAGGGAGGGGCGTACCGTAACATGAATTGAAGTAGAATTAAAAATTGCTTATAACCCCTTCCTTAACTTTTTATATCCTTGAGTCTAAGACTATTCCTAGACTCAACTTAGAGTGGGTATACCTTCTTGTTTGGTATTGCATAAGGCCCTGCTCATATATTGCAACTGTTTGGATCTTAGTCTACCAGTGGCACCTGACAGCAGGTGTTCTAACACATACCTGTGCAGGTGAGGCCGTCCCAGGTGAGGCGGCCACGCCCTCCTGCTGTACGGAGGCCAGCTGTGGATTGACAGCTGTCGCCTGTTAGAACAAACACAGCAGAAATTACACATGAAACTACACTCAGGACTTCACATCTTATCACAGGGACTTAGAGGTTAAAACTTAACATGATTACAACTGATTTCATTGTGTGTGAGTTAAAGGCAAGCTGTGTTACAGCTGTAACAGTTGTAATTTTACTAATAGACAGATAGACTTTTTTGTGGACAGACTGCCCCTACAGCTCACAGTTATGGGACTTACAGAGTGATTGAGTGAGTAACATCATACAGGAGATTACTTAAGACTAGAACAACTACTAGTGAGTGATTTTGGCGAACGAAACCTGTTCCCTTACACTTTGCATGGGCTGGTCTGATCCGGAAACAAACCCCGTCACCTTGGTACCGGCTGGATCTGCCTGCGTGGTCACACCTGGAGCCCCGGACGCCATCGCAGTGACAGCCGGTGCAGCTGAAACATGAACAACACTCTCATCACCTGCGTGCGGTGTGTGTGAAATCTAGCAGAGCTTCATACACAAACATCCAAACAGATCTGTATATTAGCCCACAGCTACATTTTCTTGTTCATTGACTTGTTTCCAGTACTACTGTGAGCAAATGGACAATACAGTAGCTGCATATAAATCCATACTGAATCTACAGTACACATAAGAGACAGTACATACCTGTAGTCCCTGGTGCTTGTGCCTGTGTCCCCGGCATTCCCATGGGAGGCATGGTCATCCCTGGAGGGGGCATCATGGGCATACCAGGCATGGGAGGGGGGTGGCCGAAGGGGGGCATGGTCATGCCAGGAGGAGGGACACTCATCCCCGGAGGGGGCTGGGACATACCAGGAGGGGGGATCGTGCGAGGGGGCGGCTGGCCCATGCCCGGAGGGGGGAGGAAACCTGGAGGTGGTGCCATTCCTGGGGGCATCTGTAAGAAAACGTTGCAGAAAAGAATATGTCTGTGTAATACTCTTGCACCTACTTTCTTTCCACAATGTTAATGTTATGTTTATGTTATAGATGCAATCAAGTCAACTAAATATGTTAAGATCTACACCATCACAAACAAACACCGGTTAGGATATAAAAGGTTATGATTAAGCCACAGAGCAAAAAAAAACTAACGGCATAAACTACATCGAAGATGAGATAGTACCCCAGAGTTGGATGAAACCCCCCCAAACCCCTTCTGGGATGTTAGTGATAGGTGCATTTACTTTGAGTCTGGATAGTAAAGCCACATCATAAGAACCAATCATGATGCTAGTTGGCCTTACAGCGAAGGGCGGCATCATCATGGGCGGCGGTCCGCCCCCGGGGAATGGCGGGGGCTGGCCGGGCTGCGGTCCGCCGGGCGGCTTGTTCATCCTGCAGTGCACTCACCAACCGCTAGGGGGAGATGGAAAACATACACAGTTCACTTTCAAGTTTATATATGTGGTATGGAACTCATTCTTTCCTAGAACTATCGTAGAGTGGAACTCCCTGCCACCAAGTACAGTAGGGGCATCATCACTGAAGTTAGATAATCATGTGCAAAGGTTCGGTGTAACACTAACAAGTCGTTTGGTGTAATATGGCCAGCTGCCACCGTGTTGCATGCCGGTAATATGTCACATTGTGTCTCCTTTACATCAGTTCCCTTTGTCCCTTCTTGGAAAATAGCCTACTCTAAAGACAACTAAACAAGACTAACCTGTGCCTAGCATATGTTGCTTGGGTCAAACCATAGCATGGGATGCCCCCCTCCCACTAAACTGTGCACTCATCAAGTACGACTTTTCAAGTTAGTTTGACACTATATAAAGTCCACTTCATTAATATCAGTATGATTAGGACATTGAGGCCATGGTAACATCCATCAGACGATTGTGTTTCCAGTAAAATATCATACAAATGGAGGATTTTACGCCCCCCTCCCACAAAGATTTTGTCTACCCATTTTTCCCCAAAATAAACACTAAACTTCCTCTTCCTCCAAGTTATATTATATCCGAATATGTGCAAAAGTCAAAAATGTATCATACATGCACTATAGAGCTCTTACCTGCCACCAAAAAACAGCACTTTCCACCTTTTTGTGGCGTCCCGGAAAGATGTGGTCTTTCTTCTCTCGCAGGGCACGCGTGACGACAATGTGTGGTTTGGCGGGGCAGTGCAGAAGCGCCTCTATGCGGATCAATTTTTGTACTGCAGGTATATTCGTATTATTGCTTGACTGGTCCCAGCTAGAGCTCAGTAAAATAAACTTTGGTCCCATTTTTCTACCTCTCACACTCTCCTTAATACAACTGTGTCTTCAGAATTTAATTGCTTTATGCCTAATATTTGATGCAAATCAATATCATAGTTTTGGCGTCACTGCAGTTTTGCAAAATCAGCTAGGTGGCGCTGTTCACGCAACTGTCGGTCTGTCATGAATAGCAATTTTGCAGACGAACAGTCCTGTATGTCACGCGCTTCTGGTTCATGGTGAGATGAATTGTCTCGCTTTTACGACGATTGGCGCCATGATTGTTGAGTAGCTCCGTAACAGAGACCTTTGGGACAGCCCGAGTGTAGCGAGCGGTACATCAGGTATGTAAAAAAGCCACAAATTGGCGAAAAAAGTTAATTATTTGTGGTCAGTGCGGTTGTAGAGCTGAGAGCTGTGCAAGTGGTTTATAAAACGCATGGCGGAAACGATATAGATGTTTTACGCCACCTTTTCCCGCCCTGCTTTGGCGTAAATTCGACTGTAGTTTGATTTAAAAACATCTGTTTTGCAAGGAAAATCACCTATGATACGAGAAAACCTTCAAGCAGACGAAAATGGAACCCCAAAAGTGCAGCTGGAGAAGGGGGAGGGGGGCGTGTGGGGGTCAGGTAGATATTTGGTGCGAGGGGAAGTTGACACCTAGTTCAGCCTTTAGAGCGTTTGTAACAGTTCCTGTACTTACTTTGAACGGTTTAGGAATGTTGAACATCCTTTTAAGGGCTCTAGTATAACTATATGAGGTATGGTACAGTTTAGTCAGAGTTTGTTTTGATTGCGCAATGCAAAATATGTTGTTTTGATAATTTACACATAACGTAAGGTCACACACAGTATTACTGACTTGTTGCGTATTCACTAACGTAACGTTTGACCTAAAATTCTTCTTAATCTGACTTATTTCAGTTGGTATCGACTTTGTAGAATCAAAATGTGCTTTAACATAAGTTTAGACATACTGTTTGGATCTGGGTAAACACACAATCTATGTAATTTACAAAAAGACAGCACGCCTTTTGGCAGCAAGTATCAGCGTGTGTGTGTACAGAGTGTCATATGACTGGTCCCTGGGTATCTGGTTACATCACAGGGGTGTAGGTGTCAGAATTTGAAAATTAGGACAGTGGAAGATAGATTCTTACAAGCCATGCAGAAGGAAGTGCCTGTATTACTAAGTTTCTGTCAGCAGTTTACAGTTAAACTTTAACTTAAAGTGTAAATGTTTTGATGACGTTAGCTTTATATCTTTTCAATATTTTTGTAAATATAGAATTACAATCAATACTTTATGTTCTATTATGTGGAACTTAGTTTTCAAAACAGATTGACCAACATGTTATGTGTATAATGGCTGGAATATTGCTATCTTGTTATCTAGATAACCACAACAATATACTGAATCTGTCTAAATTTGGGATGAATTATACTTGTGATTTTTTACCTCCATGAATTATAACATTGATTTAGTCCCTAATCCAATTTACATGTACATGCACTAGAAAGTACCCCGGTAAATCAACTGGTAGCCCCAAACACTGTGCTGTAGCTGACCTCTTTGCTGAACCGAGAACAATTTACAGAAGGATTACTAGTGCATCAAAGCCAGCAAAGAATACCTTGTTAAGTGCCAGTCAGAATCAATTCAATGGGATACGTATATGTTTGAGTTTAGAAAAAATTGTTAGTGAGGATTTCTAACACCTGAGAGTAAGTTAACCTACATAACATCAACCTACAGGATAGAGGCAAATGGCGGGCTGCATCAAGCCTCAGCAAAGGTGTGCAAGCACGTCTAACCCTCAGAATATATACACTAAACCGGATAGTGATTTGATGAGTGAATTTATGTATATATATATGTTGTTATTTTTCCAGGCGACTGCTTTTGCAGGAAACAGGAAGCAAGTTTTTCTGTTGATGGAATCTAAGAAACTTCTAGAAGAAGACATGTCGACACCAAAGTACGAGTCCATGAACGGGGGTTTCCCGGACGATGATGATGAACTCCTGGACATCGCCACGGAGATCGCGCCGGAGACGGCCAGCACAACGAGCGCCGGGAGTAACCAGCCGTTTCTAGGTGGGTCTGAACTGGAGGGGTTATGGTCTTCTGTGTCAATGATGATTTCTCTTTCCAGTAATTTTTCTTCCTGAAACACGTGTAACTATAATTGTGACAAGATCTATACCCATTTGATTGTTAAGTGTAATTATATTGCAATCAGTTAAAGCACAGTTTCATTTTATACCGAAAAACGTCTTATAGAACACAAGGATTTTTTAAGTTAGGACCCTGCGTACTTTGTAGTTATAGCAACTTGAAGCCATGATAGGCGCTGTGCAGCTAGAGACACCGACACTAACTGACTGAAGCTGTAGACCATCTAGCAAGAAGATATCATGTTTTATTGATGTAATCTTAAACTTCCCAATATCATTAATGGCTAGTGATATCACCATTATCCTCTGCCCAATATTTAATCTTCAACTTTCAAATGTCAAACAGAAGCCCTATGATCACTTCCCATGGAGACTGATAGTTCATAATTTTGTAGTTATTGGATTTTGTCTGTTTGAAATAATCATTTTAGTCTTGAAGTTGAATATGAACGCATAATTTTTTCCAAATATGAACTGTAATATCCTGTTCATTAGATATCCGGTACTGTAATAGCTAATGTCAACACACATGTGTGCGAACCTGTATATATGAACCTAGCTGCTGCCATGAAATACTCTCCCTAACCCATTTAAGGGCAGACATCAAAGCATTAAGGAAGCATTTACTGAGCCAAACTAAGTCTACAGGCTTTACATTTATGACTGGCTGAAATATGGAGTGCACTAAGTACAGGCAGTATAAATGCCATCTGGCTGGATCGATGGTTGCCTTGTATTTTGGCTAACATCCACCTGGCCTTCCTATGTCCTAACGGGTTATGTATAGTAGAATTTAGCAAAAATTGGACAATTAATTGGCCAGGAGAGTTTGGTCACCATACAGGTTCATTTGCTTTGTGAGATTTCGAACTTCCAAGGGGAAATGTATCTCTGAAAATTATATTACCACAGGATTTACTCTCCTGGCCAATTATTCATCCTGTTTTGCTGAATTCTATAATCCCATGACTCCTAATTAGGAAGGCCTGGTGGAAGCTATGAATGAAAATGCATTGGAGAGACAATATCAAAAATGCGACACTCATGGAAGAAACTGTTTTCTGGCAAAGCAAGGACATTGTTGTCAGGTTAAGTCACGTCTAACAATGAGAATGAATTTGTGCTTCGAACAAATGTAAGGTACAAGATGGCTAGCCTCAATAATCAATTGCTTTAGATTATAAGACTTGAAACATGTAAGTCATGTAAGAATGAAATATAAAAGTCACACCACTGGGCTGGCCTAGTAATAAATAACCAAATTAATGAATAGTGGTAAAATAACCTCTTACTATGTCTTAGCAATCTCTTAGCGATTTCAAGGACTGAGGCTTGAGGTCACAAAAAGATAAATCTTTCAAACATGCTGATTTCATGTCAAGATACGAGACTGTAGATTATGGTCTACTTTCCAGATATCTTGTTTTCCATACTCCTATATCCCGACAGCCGGCTAGATAAAGCTAAGCCAACAAAGCTTATATTCCCCACTCAGATCAGCCCAGTAAAGCCGCCCGGCCGATTGCCACGGCCTAGTGAATACCTTTAGAGAGGGTCTGAAATAGTCGCACACTTCTGTTATCCATCAAAATGTCAGGTATTATTAATATCCACCTGGTATTACCCTTCACACCTGGGGTTTTATACCACAATATCCTCAAAAATCTGTTACATCCTCCTGTTTCATGTTGTTAAAACAATTCTAAAGACTGCAGATCGGCAGTGAGTAATGTTAGCAGCAACTGTGAGCGTTTGAAATGTGCCCTGATTTAGGGATATGCAAATTTGCAGTTAATTAAATGGATTACCCGTCTGGAGGGAGGTGGGGCGGCCTGGGGTGAGATTGTTGCTGTAATTGCTCCCCCTAGGGGACGGGTCTGAACTGCAGGTCATTGAAAATTTATTCCCAGCTTGGGTGTTTTTCTTTGATAAATGAGTGGTTTTCACAGATTTACCTTGTTCATTATTGACATTTTGAATATTGGAAAGTATGCAAAGGCAATTTTTGGTTTACATTTTCAATTCAATAATTTAAATCTCTGGAAGAAAATGTTTGTAATCCCAAAGAAATATTCTGTCATCATTAATATTTTGTATAAAATTAGTGTGTGTGTGATTTTGTTTTACTAATTTTAGGAGAATTTTTTATTTCACTAAATCCTACTAATGTCAAAACCCAATAGGAGCCCCACGAACACAGACACAAATCTTATTCAGCATCCACTGTATATAATAATTTAGCTCATTGTTCTATTTGAAAAGATTGACAGTTTTCCTAAATGGTAGTGACTTGCGCTATTCACAATCTGACACACGCCAGCCTTTACTGACTCTCATAGATCACAGGTGTCATAACGTCCTTGTGGCTCCCCTCTGCCTCCAAACCTACCGTCATGTTGCCAATCAATATATGGAAGCCGACCCCTCAGGAATTGAGTGGGAAACGGAATGAATATCTAATGTCGTTTTCCCGACTGTCTGCCACGTCTGGTATTAACAGTCCTCACTTTGCGTCACCGCCGTCACATGTCAGAAATTATGCATAATTAGGTGTGATTTTTATCCTTATCTCATCACTGTTGATGGCCGACAAAATCGTGGTAGGAGAATCGTTTATTCCTCCCCTTTCTGCATGCATCTATGGAACCTTTTTACCAAATTACCATCACAGACCGCGCAGGAATTGATTAGCAAAACCGTTATGCTAAATCATGTCACAGGAATGATGGGTAATTCTGTGAATAAAAGACAAAATTCACGACAAACGTGATGTTGAAATCAGTGAGATATTCTTATTTGCATAAAAAATTCTAAGGAAATTTTAAAAAATGATGGATAGATTTGGAGATGATGTTGCCAGAAAGCGGCCATTTTGATGAGGTCAGCCGTGGTGCTTACGTGGAGTGCAGGCACGGCGACCATGTGAGCTTGTTTCCATCTCTGCCATCGGAAAAAAAAATCAGCCAGCCCTTTAATTCCCGGGCAGCATGGTGCAGTGATTTGCACAGGGAATTCTCATTCGTTCTCCCCGCAAATTGCGGACGAGGAAATTGACACGACTGACCGGTGAATATCGTTTTAACGACAGCATGGTTCCGACGTACACGTCTTGACGCTTCAGGAATGTCGCAGGACGATATCAGTCTCCAGCCTTTTCTCAACTCATGTGGTAGGAACACACCGCTTATTCTCTCCTCTCTAACATCATTATAATGCTCCCGCTTCATCTTTAATCTATTATCCTGAATTATTTAGAGCGTAAAAACCTCACAGCTGTAAAATTGAGAATCCCTTGTTGTATCAAGGTGAATTACATTTTGTGCGTAAATTCTTAAGAGGAGAAATGTTTGAGATGTGATTTAGATTTTGATTCATCGAGTGCTTGATTTGTATGATGCAAATGAGAAGTATTCACAGTACTGTGTATCGTTGTGTAAGTTCCATATGCTATGTTGTCTGTCTGTAATTACATGTGAGGCAGTGTAAAATCTGGAATGATTAGGTTGAAAAAGAAGCACGATCAACTGTTTGGGAATTGAGGCAAGGATAATTGGACTAGGAATTACTGATAAAAGGTTTGGAATATGTGCTAAATTGACCTTCATGCTTGTTTTCTTACATGAAGCCGTGTTCTACATGTAGTATGACTATGAAATGGCACTCGCTATGTTAAATGACTGTCAATGAATGTGAGCTCTGGTGTACATGTAATTGATATGCTCGATCCTAGAATCACAAAAAATACAATGTATTAAGTAATATAATATGTTGGAGACAGTTAATGATTCATTGGTGATTATGATATATAAGGTTTTTGCAATCAAATTGCAAAATGACTTTTTTTACTATGAACTGTACTTAGACATACAATAAAAATCATTATAGTTCAATCACTACTACACAATAAACATTTTAATTTAACCCTCATATATAACAGCAAGGTAAGCATCACTTCAATAGGAGCAGAAAACATTTGTACATATGGAAGAACAAAATTATGATAGTTTAAAAGTTCAATACTGCAGCATCTATCAGTATCAGGACCCAAGCCAAGAAATGTAGATGTTAAAGTCAGTAATTGAGTTTCAAATAACCTGAATGTTACTTCTAACAGCAGTGACAAATGTCAAAAGAAATTGCCTGAAACATAGATTATATTACAATGTGCCAGTGACGTTGACATCTCTAACCTGATTGCAGCGGAATATTAAGTTATACTGAGTCATAGGTGCGGCTCTGAGATTTTATTTTCACGGACTGCCGTTTCCAAATCTGCGGATTCTCGGTACGAAGCTCGCGATGTTGGCTCAACAAGCAGATGTGGACGTATTCTGGAGACGACTGGATTTTATCCTATGTAGTTTCAGAAGACACGCCGGTAAGCTGGGACAGACTCTGAGGATCAGCGACAAGGTTTTAGGAAAGACTACCATGGGTTCTGTTTTTCCTCACATCCTTTTCAAATATGAATTGTCAATTGATTATATGTCATTCTTGTTATTGAGAAAATGTTGCATTATACACGTAGAAAAATTTGTTTCCCTTGATGATGGGTGATCGTTCCATGATTGTTTAAAGCTTTATCTTGCAAATGCGTATGCTGAAAAAAAATAGCCCAGAGAAATGCTCCGTAATATGTTGTAACATGCTAATAATTAATTAAGATTGTCATCATAAGCGTACAATACATACATACAATAATACAAGGATACAAGATGTACAAGAATCTTTATCAGTATTCCAAAAATGTTCAAATTTTTAACTCGACACCAGTCTTCATTATACTATATCTACATGTATACTAACATATCATGTTACCAAAATTACACTGTACATAGTTTTACATCAGCATTAACATGAATGTACCTCTTTCACATTTTTTAAACAACCACTTTTAAATGATCATGTCCAAATCGTTCAATTTCCAAGACAATGGTGTTATGAATGCAGATGTTGCAGCAGATTTCTGTGCCAAAGGCCACCAACAACTATCTACATGTCTGCCTGTAGACCCAGAAGTGACTGTTATGTATTCATGGACGATGCTCCATTTTGTGTAACACAACCTTAATGACTCCCAAACTACACCTTGATCCGTGGACCCGTGCCAGGCAGCGGATAGTCTCTGATTCTCACCGACGCACTTTGAATTTGCTTCCAAAATATTTCCTGCAAGCTCAATTCAGAGTGGTGAGCTTTAGATGTAATGGCACACCTGTCATAAAATGTTTGCTATGTAAGCAATATGTAAAAGGTGGGATGAAACGTGTATAGGCATATGCAATGCTTGAAATGTATCAGATTTCTTATGCAATCTCTAAAGCCCCCAAACCTGGGCAGACATTTTATCATGGATATATCAGTGTTTGCAATGCTTTTTATTTACCGGTATGCCACATTTTGGGGACGATAGTGGAGATTGGAGATGTTATAATACCGGTATGGGGAGAAGTTTTGACAAAATGAGGTTTTTACTTAGTAAGTATTTTTGGTGGAATATAAAGGATCAATGTTGAAAACAAGAAACAGTTATCCATGGAGGGAATTGGAGGAATGTATGGTTCTATGCATTTTAAGAAAATAAAATTTTATAGGTGACTAATTCATTTGTTTGTTTGTTCGTTTTTTCAGAGTCATCTACCAACATCCTTGACTCTAGCGAGGAAACCATGCTGGAATTCGGGCAGTACGACGACTTCCACACGATAGACTGGGTGCGGGACATCTCGCGGGACCGTCTCCGACACAAACAGATCTCCAGGAAGAGTAAAGAGTCATGCTGGGACCTGATCAAAGGGACCCACGATGCCTGGTCAGGCTGGCTGTGTGTGCTGCTCGTGGGGATGGCAGCAGGTCAGACATTTCCTCCTGACAACATGTTAGGATAAGTTAAGATATGATTCATATTGACATGGGACATTGTATAAAACCAGTCAGTTTTCAAAATCTAAATATCATGATGTTAGAATCTATCCATTCAGAATTTAATTATTTGATTCTACAGTGGCATGATTTTTTGTCACAGACATTGTAGAACCTCTAAGTTTTAGTCAGCCTCTGTATGTTTTCTGCCCTGGTCTGTTTGCAGGTATTTTAGACCTCTGAGTGTCACAGGCAAATTATAGTTTTAGTCAGCCTTAAGTTGCTCTTAGCACATTGATGGTTGCAGAGTCTACTGAAAACTGCAGATTTTATTCTCAATCTGTATGTTTTCTGCCCAGGTCTGATTGCGGGTATCTTTGACAGTTTATTTTGTATCTATGCAGGTCTGTTTGCAGGTATAGTCGACATCGGAGCCAGCTGGATGTCTGACCTGAAGGAGGGCATCTGTCCCGAGGCTTTCTGGCTGAACAAGGAGCAGTGCTGCTGGGGGAGTAACGACACCACCTTCGACGACCGGAGCTGCTCGCAGTGGCTGACCTGGTCCCAGCTGTTCGGCATCCACACGGAGAACGCCGGCACCTACATCCTGGACTACATCATCTACGTGTTGTGGGCCATGTCCTTCTCCGTCATCGCCGTGTTCCTGGTCAGAACGCTGGCGCCGTACGCATGCGGGTCGGGGATACCGGAGGTGAGTAAGAGGCATGGTTCTCCCATCGTCTGCGACGGATGAAAACCTCTGTTATGCACATCATGTGTGATTTCAGTCCATTTCCAGACAAGCAGTCCAAGTAAGAGCGCCCTGGCAGTAACACCATACCAGTCACAAAAGCAAAAGTTACAAGTTACACACATGATTTGCAGGCACTGGTGTCTGTTACTGAAAAACAAAAGTTACAAGTTACGCAGTTAATTGTAGGCCATAGCAGGATGTCTAGACATAGGCATACTTTTTTACTGTCTTGGCAAAGAAGTTGCAAGACCCACCTGCTACCTGTAATTTGAAACATTTCATCTGAATACCAACATTGCAGCCCAAAGATCTAGAGCCCTTCATTGCCAGTTAAAAAAGCCAAATGAACATGACATGCATATAGAATCAAGTTTGTATAGCCAGATTCATCATTCAGTGATGTTGTATGTTCCTCAGATATACCCTTTCTACTGTATCCTAGAGTCTGTAATATAAGGAGCTCAGGGACCATCTGTTTCTCATTACCGGTTATAAAGCCACATCCTGACTCTGAAGACAGGAAATGTGTTACCATGGCAACAGGCAATTAGAGGAACAACACATCCTGTTTAGAACCACGTAAACAGGATGTTTCAGATTTCTGAAGAAGAAAAATTAATGAGACATGCGTCATGCTTTCATTTCTGTTAAAGGGAAAGAGAATTAACCAGAGAGAACTTCCTGTCCAGCTGTTACTATAGACTCTGTCCTAGTCTCAAATTCAGAAGTCAGTTGTTACTATATTTTGTTTGTCGGTGTGTTTTCAATTTTACACCAAGTCATTAGAGGTAATGGTACCAGCCAGAAAGTATGGTACAGAATTGAACCAGTGCTAATTAAGGACGAAACAAGAAGAAGAAGAATTAAGGCTTCAGAGCAATGTTAAAACCATGCGCATGGATGCAAGTTTGGAGGCTTAACTGTTGATATAAATGTAGTGCCTATCACAAAACATGTGATTTCTTACTCCAACACTCAAGAAAGGTCTTGGAATTTCCTTAACCAAATTGTCTGGGGAATTTCCAATATAGAACCTGTAAGAACCTTTGACACTGGAGCACAAATCGTTAAGGCTTAACGTGAAGAGCTGTTTTGTTCCAGTGATTTCCTTTGCCTCTGATTCTGACCAATCAATGCTATGAATACTTTATGAGTCTGTGTAAGGAAGAGGTCTGATTGCCTTATCTATATTCTCATCCTGACCTTGAATCATCATTATTCCGCACTAAGGGCACTCCAAGTGTAATCCTCCTGTCTCAAACCTGGACACTTCAGCTTCTGATTGATGTTGAAATGAAGCATCAAGAACAGCACCTATTTGGTGGTAATGTTTGTTGTAGAAATGTTTTGTGGGGCACTTAGTCCACTTTTTATCCTTTACCTGATCGTAACATCTGCATAACTGTCATCCGTAGAACATTGTGATTTTCACCATAGTTTTAAGATTCAGTGCATGAATGTACTAGGTCTATACAGAAGTATAATATGCTCATGTATTGAAATACTGTGCATGGTGCATACACGTACTAGCAAGAAGAGAGCCCATCATGATTGGTTTGACCAAACTAAACTGCATTCTGCTAAAGTCAGGTATAATGAGAAGAGAATCTTACAATGCACAGTGTTACAACAGTGGAAATGTTTGACATTTACAACTTACAATGGCATCCTTTATAAGATGTGTGTCCTTGCTTCATTCACAAAATTTGATAAGTACAATCGTCATGCCCTATTCTAATAACCTGGAATGAGTGGAATCCATCCATTTTTAGAGGTACAAAGTGCAAGGAGCCCTGTTACAAAACGAATAGCACCCAGGCTACTATTCTAACTAGTACTGTATCTTCCCTTTTCAGATCAAGACCATCCTGTCTGGTTTCATCATCCGAGGTTACCTGGGGAAGTGGACATTGATCATCAAGTCTGTGACCATGATGTTGGCGGTGTCGGCCGGCCTGAGTCTGGGGAAGGAGGGACCGCTGGTCCACGTGGCCTGCTGCATCGGAAACTTCTTCTCCTACCTGTTCCCCAAGTACGGCAGGAACGAGGCCAAGAAAAGAGAGGTGGGTCAGCTGCGATATTCATCTGTCAACTAAGTTAGACTTTCAACAGTTGTGTTTTAAACCAGGGCTCAAAATCTTTTTTCTGCATACCTGCACCAGTGCACTGGTTGAAAATTACCTAAACCAGACAGATTTTACCTGCACTGCATGCTTAGAATGCTACTGCCATTATTTTGTTGATACTCAATTTTGGGGCATTTTAGGACAAATTTTGAGATACTGATTTTCCTTCATGTGTCATTTTATTGTAGGCAAGTGATTAGCTGGTAAGCACTTGTTGTACACAGTGCAGACTTAGTATTAAATAATGTGATTGTGTTCCCCAGATCCTGTCAGCAGCCTCAGCAGCAGGTGTGTCGGTGGCGTTTGGTGCACCCATAGGGGGAGTTCTCTTCAGTCTGGAAGAGGTATGTCAGCCAGCTCTGTTACATTCTAGTGCAGACTTCCTGATGGTAGCCTAATGTTCAAAATAAGACCTTAAACTAGTATATGTTAATTACTTGAAATGATGTCAATCTCACCCCCATGAAACTCCTTCCTCTTCGCCCCCGCCGCCGATTTGTGCAACGCCACTTGGCAGAAAGGTGGTCCAGAATGTTTGCCGGAGCATGGGCTACTTTAAATTTGGCGGCACAGCCTTTATTGTTATTTTGCAGACGATTTTCGTGTCGACTGTGAGCTGTGCCGCCATTGGGGGCTAAGCAGAAGGACGGGGGCAAAGCAGAATTGCGCCGGGGCGTAGAGGAACGACGGGGCGAAGCAGATTTTTGCGGGGCGAAGCAGAACGGGCGGGGGCGAAGCAGAACGGCGGGGGCGAAGAGGAAGGAGTTTCATGGGGGTGTACAGTGTATGAGGTTTTGAACCTCCTAGCCGCTTGTCATGGTACTGCAGTGGACCTCCAGATATCTCATGATCACAATTTTAGTAATTTTGGGAGGTAAAT